AGCCTCCAGATACGCAGCAAGAGCCAGCTCTGGTTTCCCGGCACTGAGGAAGAAGCCTTCAGCACGTTGATGTTCCTTGCGCTCAATCCAGAGTCTCGCTTGAGCGATGAACACGTCAGCCACAGACGCCGGGTCCGCGCTTTCCGCGACGCGCATGGCGTTTTGCCAGTCCTGTTGGTGCACATACATGTCCAGCGCTTCACGAGGTTTCCCAGCCTTGATGAACTCTTCCTCTGCTTCCTTAAAGCGTTCCTCATCCTCGAAAAACAGCGCATGTTTGAGATGCACCTCCGGTAGCTTTTTGGTGGCACAATTGCGTGCAAGCTCGAAGGCGTGCTCGAACGCTCCACTTTCAATAGCGTAGTCTATTGCCGGCTCGATGAGTCCAAGACGAGTGAGCAGCTTAGCGCCTTGTTCACCTCCGAGATCCATGGCCCAAGCATAAGCCACACGCTTGGAGGCGTTGATCCCGCCGTGGTGCAACCAGGACAAGTGAAGCAGACAGTCCACCGTGGTCTCACACGATCTCTTATCGCGCGTGGCGTTTGCACGCATGGACACGAGGCAGGACGCTGTAGACCATCCAGTAGAGAGTCGGACTGCTAAGCCAGGGCACCGGTCAGACTCCTTCAAGGTGATGTCTACAGCAGATGGTGTTTGGAGGCAGGCTTTGAGGAATCGGACTTCGATTCGATAGAAGTCTTGATGGGCTGATTAATCCTACGTGATGCACTATCGATCTACGTTTAGTTGGAAGTAGAATTGCGGACGTAGTACGGCTCCATTTGGCTCTCTACAGAGCAGTACGGGAACGTGGCGGTTTTTGTGTCCGGATTGAAGAGGTTCTTGCCGGCGTAGATCATGACATAGCAACCGACGATACTACAGATGACGATAACTAGGATGGCAACGATACGCTCGTACGCGGGCAGCTCCTTCCAGAAGACCTTGAGGTAGAACGTAATAGGTAGAGCGAGACAGCACACTGTAATGGCCGAAGCGCCCGTGAAGTCCACGAGGTCGAGGAACTTGTCACGGAGGCCGATGGAAACAGCCACAAGCACGGCAATGATGCACAGACGTAGAGTCACATAACGGAGCACAGTTCCCGCGCCCTGGTACTCTGATAGTTCCTGCTCTTCCTTCTCTTTCCGCTGCTGTTCAGTCGGCAGTGCGACGCCCGGGGTGTTGGAGACGTTATAGTTACCTTCAAGGTCTGGCGTCGACAGGTCGGGGGCGGTCGACAGCTTCTCGATCTCCGTGGTAGTCTTGTGCATGCCGAGGATGAAGCGTTCAGCCATGTAAAATGGCGGCTGGATTACCGTCGAGAAGGCGATGACGATGTGGATCTGCATGAACAGGTAGGCCATGATCACAGCGCCACGGCTGGGAATAAAACCCAGAGCGGACGGAACCGTCGGGTCCGCGATGTTTACAACGGAGAAGAGCAAGTTGCCCGAGAGCTGGCAACCACCAGCAGCATAGCCAGCAATTGCAATGGCCAAGAAGAATGCTGAACCAGCACCCAGGCTCACGAGGATGATACGGGGCATGCGGGTGGGATCAGAGTGTTGGCGCTGGAGGTCGGGCACGACAACGGAAGCGCCGTACGCCAGTGACAGGTTGCCGAACGTCGTAAGCACCTGGTGCAGCGTGATG